TGCACCCCCCGTTAAGGAAAAATCCCCCCAAAAAAAAAAAAAAAAAAAGAACTACAGTACAGGCCTGGAGGCAAAGCGGGTGGAGAAGACGACACTGGAGGTGAAAGCAGGTCAGCGTGCTGTGGGTTGAGAGCCATGGCCAGCTTGGCTATGATTTCTGAGCCAACAGCAGGGACTGGACAGGACCCAGGAGCAGAAGGGCAGGGCAGAGGGCCTGGCAAGGGTCTTCACTAGCACTAGTGGTTCAGGCAGAAGAGGAGGCACGGCTGAAGGAGGACATGGCAGTTGGAATAAAGAGACATTGAGCAGGTGTGAGCCCCAGCAGAGGCAGAGATGGGACCACCTAGCAAGGCTGCCATGTTTCCACTTGGGACAGCTAACAGGCTGGAGTGCTGCTCTTTCTGGTCAGGGCCCTGATGCAGGGGCAATGGAATGGAAATGTTAACTTTGAGGAGAGACTGGTGGGTAATTAATTGGATTTAGACATGGGAGAAGCTTGAGGGCTTCTGATCTGTGCGCGTGAGTGCTCGGTGTCAATTAAAGCTGAGAGAAGAGGGACTTGTCCAGAGGGCAGAGAGGGAGGGAGCAGGCCTGGACTGGGCCCAAGAGCCCAGCGATGCAGAGGAGGGAACAGGAGGAGGCTGGTGCCATTGAAACAGGGAGGTTCGGGCAGGAGCCTCAGCCCTCCCAGTGCACAGATGCCGTTGCTGCTCTTCTCTCCCTCTCCAGGCCCACGTTGCCCACTTCCGTTCAACGTGACAGGCGTGGCTGCCGGAATCATCCTGTGTGGCACAGCCTTGGGCCCAGGGAAGGCTGCCGTCCAGCAGTGCCAGCTGCTCTGTCGCCGGGGCTACCACAGCGCGTTTCTGCTGGGGCCACTGGTGTGCAACCTGGAGACGGGACTCTGGGAGTCACAGCCACCCCCTCCTCGAGCCTGCCAGCGTGAGTGGCTCTGGGACACCTGTCCTGCCCCTCTCAGGGCTCAGGCTGAGGAAAGCAGGGTGAAAGTCTGGCCACTTCACTCCCCGCCTCCTTGAGTGTAAGGTGGCACTGAAGGGAGAGGGTCCCCAGGAGCATTTCCTCTAGAAGGAAATGCATTTCCTCTGAATCAGATGTGCTTCACGGGGCCCTGGAGTTCGGCCTTATTTGAGGCTTCCGGAGCCCCCTGCCTCTTGGAGAATTGCCATCATTCCGGCTCTTTCCTTAATATCAAGACTCAGGATAAATCTTCAGCAACCATACTGGTGACAATAGAGATGACATGCTCAGAATGCTCCTCTGGCCTCAGAGAGTGACCTTGCCCCCACCTCCAGCCTCCTGAGTCTACCTGGGCCTGCAGGGTGGATGTCTGGCACGGTGGGACCCCAGGAGCCGCTCTAGGGGGTGGTGTTAGCTCTGATGGTTGAGGGCCTGTGTGCTGTTTAAATGTCAGCCCTTCTGCACTGCAGAGAGCGCCTTTGACCTGTGAACCCAGCCAATGAGAGTGAAAGCAGGCACACTCAGCTGGGAGGCAGCACCTGGCTCTGACTGCCTGGGCACAGCCTGAGTCATGGGTCCTTAGTCCCGGTGGTTGACCACAGGGCCGCCATGTGCGATCGTGCAGGCGGTGCACTGATCAACCTTAGGGATGCTATCCACATCATCCGCGGTGGCTACTCTTAGCCTGAAAAGCTATCTGGGGTGACCCATCCATACGTGAGAGAATATAGATTTCCCAACGAGAATGTTCAGGAACCCCAAAATGTAAAGCATTTGTTTATAGGCCAAGGCAGAAATGGGCTTTCTGTGAGGGTCCTGAGTGATTTCAGAGACAGGTAATGGGGTTCTAAGAAGTACTTAGGCTCAGCATGACAGTGCAAAGTGGTAGTGCTTATGTGTTTCAAGTTAAAGGTCAGTTTGCAGAGAAGAAAGACAAGACGAGGACTGCAGGTCTGTTGTCTCTGCCTGCTGACCCCTGGTGCATGCCTGCAGGGCTGCAGCTGGGCCAGACCATCCAGACGCAAGGACACTTCCAGCTCCAGCTCCCACCAGGCAAGATGTGCAGTGCCGACTATGCGGGCTTGCTGCGCGCTTTCCAGATCTTCCTGCTGGACGAGCTGATGGCCCGTGGCTTCTGCCACATCCAGGTATGCGCCTGGCCACACATCAGTGAGGACTTGGCTTGATCTTGAGGTCACATGTCAGAGCACCTCACAACTCAGGGGAACCTGGGGTTCAGGCTCAACCCTTATCTGTTTTGCCGGTGGGCATAGTGAGGTCCCAAATGTGAACTACTTTGTCTGAAGTTAATTGCACAGCAGCAGGGATGAAATCTGTACCCACCTCATCACGGCCATTCTCTCTTTGTGATATCAAATGCACTCTGAGCACTTACTGTGTGCCTGACACTATGTATCCCTCACCATGGATAAGCCACTGTGATCCTCAAAGGGACACTATTACTATCACTGCTTCGTAGATGAGGAAAATCGAGACCAGAGAGTTAGAATATCTGACCCAGGGACACACAGCCAGGAAATGGCGGGGCCAGGCTTGCTGAGCTGAGCACAGAGCTGTGGTCACCATGACATACTGCCACCTCCCATGGAGCAAGGACCTGGGAACATGGGGTCATGGGGGCCAAAGTGTCATGATACATCCTCTCTGCACCACACAACAGGTGTGTTCCTTAGAAAACCAGCAAGGAGGTGTTATGGGTCATTCCTGGAAGGAGAATCTCATATCTCACCCAGGTAGATGCTGGACCCTAAGTATCAGACTCAGCTGTGCAACACATGGGGGCTTCGATGATGTGAAACCACAAGTGCTCACAGAAACGGTCTTGAAAAGTCACCCAACTGAATAAGTCCTTGCTCTGCTCGAAGTTTACTAAGTCAACAGGACAGCTCGATTTTGACACTTCATGTTTTGAGGAATGCAGAAAACAAAACACAGAGAGTACTGATTTTAAAGCAAATAGAATCAGTAGATTTTGTACTGTCACCCAAAGACATGCCATGATCACTGTATCACTGATACCTGTTAAGGATGGTGCTGCATGTGTCTCTGGCACCATGCTGGAAGCCCCTCAATCTCTCATCATCACCACAGCACCTGCTCGAGGGGTGTCAGCAGCCCTCGGTTTATAAGTGAACTAACTAACGTCCTCAGCAGGTAAGTTGCAATGTCTCTGCGAGCTTCCTAAGTCCTGATCTGCCTGGACTCTCATTACACCAAATTTGCTCATTCACCTATTCCATTTAGCAAATGTGTGAGCACCTACGCAAGGTCGCCATAGTTTCAGGCGCTGAGATTGTCAGAGGTAACTGAGGCCCGACAGTAGTTAAAGTGGTAAGGACAGATTGGAACCAGCAATATATGACTGCAGTAGTGAAGAGGGGCCGGTGTGAGCTGAATTCTCTTCAGCGTCACCCTTTGCCGTGGTCTGAATGTTTGTATTCCCCCAACTCATATGTTGGAAGCTTACCCCCCAAAGTTAAGAGTATTAGGAACCAGGAGTTGGGATTAAGGGAGGTGATTAGATCATGAGGGTAGAGCCCTTATGAGTGAGGTTAGGACCCTTAGAAAAGACCCAGAGAGCTCCCTGCCCTTTCTACCTTGGAGGGTTCAATGAGGAGATGGCCATCTATGAAGAGGGCCCACAGCAGACCCTGGATCTGCTGAGATCTTGATCATGAACTTCCTAGGCTCCAGAACTGTGAGACATGAATTCCTGTGGTTTAAAAGTTACCTGGTTTATGGTATTTTATTATAACAGCCTGAACAAATTAAGACACCCTTACAGGATGATGGGAAGAGGGAAAGATATAGCTCGTGTTTGACCCTGGACCCATGACCCTGTCCTCAGGCTACAGTCCTCACAGTCATCTGCTTGCTCACCCTGCCCTGAGGAACCTGCACTCCATCGATTCACTCGGTCATCACCACTCAGTCAGGCTGGGAGGAGAGACCAGGCTGCACAGCCCAGATGGAGCAGCCTGTGGAAGCTGCAGGGCTTCAGAGATGGCAGGGATGATGTCCCGATGGATATGCCTGTGACGAGGATGGTTTAGAATCAGCCAGAGTTGTTTCAGTGGAATATGGTGACTGGAATTGGCACAGATTGGGCTTTCCAGGCAGAGAGCTCTATTCTTCCTCCACTAACATCACTGTAAGCTGTGTGACCAGGGCATGTTATTTAGTGTCTATGAACCTGGTTATCCTCAAGTGGGAAAACTGGGTTATAATATCTCTCGCTCTGAAGTAGGGTTGGTGGGAGATTAAAGGAAGTAAATGAGCCAAGTTCTGGCTCCTGGTGTGAGTTCACCAAACAGGCTTCCTACTCTGGCTTTCAACTGAAAGTGTCTATTTCCATGTAGGTCAAGACTTCTGGGGCCCTGGTGTCCATTCCTGTCTGCGACAACTCCTCCATAGAGGTGGGATGTGTGACTGGAGAGCGTTTGGGAGTGAATGTCACGTGGAAATTGCGACTCAAAGACATCCCATTGGCCTCCCTTCCTGTTTTGCATGACATTGGTATGTAGTTCTACAACATGGTCTTGAAGAAGCTGTGCAGGCTCTGTATTACACTTTCCTCATCTGTTGCATGCAGCTAGTGAAGCCCAAATAACGTCCTGTGACAATCTGGAGAGAGAATTATGTGCCTATCCCACAGGGGGAGCTAGTTATGTGAGTCACTAATGATCAACAGAGTCCAGTCAATAGCTCACTAGAGTCAAATGATGTCAACAACAAGGAGGTCGATTGTGCTTTTGTAAACACTTTTTAATTCTCCTCTTAATTTGCCATGGAGAGAAGGGAGACAGAAAGTGTGAGGGAGAATGGAGCAGGGTGAGGGAGTCTCTGTTGATTTGTAATTTATGTCCCTCCCACTTTTAATTATAAAGCATCTCAGACACTTCAAACACACAATTAGGAAATGGGTGCATGGAGAGAATAGAAAGATCCAAGAAAGAGAGGTAGGACAGCTCATGAGAGCTGCTATGGTGTGCACTGGTTAGCTCTGAGCTTTCTGGTACACTAGGAAACAGCCGGAATACTTCTGACCAGAGAGTGGGAGGCATTTTGCTCTCACCATCCAGTGCCAAACAGCCTGGGTCAAGATGGTCTGGAGCCTGCCCTCTGTCCTGGAGGGGGTACTTCTGGAAAACACTACCAGGGTGTACTCAGGGAGCAGACTATACTTGTCATTTTCCAGTCCTCATGGCAACAGTGTTCTGTGTGAAAAATAACCCCCCACCACACACGCAAGCGCGTGCACACACACACACACACACACACACAGTTATGAATTAAAAATCCCTCTGTTTTTCTCTGGGGCTAACTTGGATGATATGAGTATTTTGTATTTTTAGAGAGAGAGATTTTGCTATAAGACACATGCGCTTGCTTGAGACACAGAGAGAGTCAGAGCCATAAAGCAAGAAATCACCTCCCAGCAGTTCAGCAGTAATGGACATAATGCAATCCCTTCTCCTCCATTCTCCCCTAGGGATTTTGGGCATGCACGCACACATATTCAGCCTGAGTTTTTAAGCCACCAAGTCTGGGACTCAAACCACAGTCGACAATGTCGGGGTCCAGAAATGTAACCATTATGCCATTTGCTGGTCCCTGATATGAAGCATGAAGCTTGACATGTTTACAGAAGCATGACATGTTTATCCCTGGCATATAGGTGAAACAATTGTATTGGGTCATTGGGAAAGTCATGACACATTTTTGTACAAAAAAATATAGAAAAATGCGGCATGACTTTTCTGATGCCCCAATAGTTTCAGGCCATTGACTGGCTCCTTAGTCACCTGTACTAAGAAGAATGTAAGCTGCATGCTGGGGTCGGCCCAGCTCCTGATGAAGTGCTCCTCTGCTTTCTCCCTAGGGAATACTTGGAGTTCCACAGATGGAGGCTTTCTCCGTGTTTAGCTAGAGTCTGAGGCAGGAGACCGCATTGACTCCTGAAGTCCTTGCCTCCCCGTTGGCACCAGCACATGTGTTCTCTCCTAGAGTCCTCGCCGCATTCCTGGGTATTTCCCAGAGCTGAAGTAGAGACTGAGGTTAAGAGGTGTCCAGTGCCCTGTCCAAGCTGAGGTGGATGAGTACCTGGAGAGTGCACCTGGTTGGCCACTGCAGGAGTGATGGTCTCTGTCAGCGCAGGTCGTGTTGGTCTCACAGGAAAGACAGGAGCCGTAGTCTTTGACTGCAGTCCGATTTATGTTTCTGACTCTTGTGTGGCCTTAGGCCAGTCAGTCCCCTTCTCTGGGCCTCAGTTTCTCCTTCTGTAACATGAGACACCAGATGATACCTGTGTCTCCTTTTAGCCAGGATGTTCCAGGTAGTTCTGACTGCTTTGAGAAGACAGTGGTTCTGGAAGAGACCGGTAAGGTTCTTATCCTGTGTCTTGCAGAGAGGGCCTTAGTGGGCAAGGATCTCCTCGGGCGCTTTGCAGATCTGATCCAAAGTGGTGCGTTCCATCTTCATCTGGATTCCAAGACGTTCCCTGCAGACACTTCCCTCCGCTTTCTCCAAGGGGACCGCTTTGGCACCTCTCCCAGGACACGGATTGGGTGCTTGGAAGGATTTCACCGAGTTGCAGCCACCAGCAAGGACAGTCAGGACCCACTGGTGTGCGGTAGGTCCACCCCTTCCCTGCAGACTGTGATTACAGAGCTGCATGAGGCTTTAGGAAAGGCCACTGGAGCTCCAGAGAGCAGCTACTCTGGACATAAAACATGGAGCTTCAGTTATGTCTTTAGTCAGCAAACATATTGTAAATCATCTCTTATGTATGGGCACATTAGATAGCATAGCAAAAGGTGAGCCCACTGTCAGAAGTTACCCTTTTCATTAGTTCTTAACAAATGTGGACCTAGGTCTGGGTTGCTGGCTTTGTGAAGAAGGCCAATGTCCTCCCCAGATTCTGAGTGGATATTTCTTAATCGAGAGATGGCAATATGTTATTTACCACAATTTCCAAATACTCATTTTAGCAGTCCAGGACTTTACGACTCAGGGACCATGACTCTTGGAGGAGAATTCCTTGGGCTGATCTGCCCTTGTCCTTGAAGTTCTGAAGGTCATTTTCATTGGAATGCAGTGGCAGAACTCTGGCATGAAAGCTGTGTTGTTTCCTATTGCTACTAGAGCAAATTAACACAGATTTAAGGCTTAACACAACACACAGTTTTGATGTTACAGTTCTGGGGGGTTTGAATCCTAACGTGGGTCTCAATGGGTCTCAGTGACTAAAGTCAGAGTGTTGGCAAGGCTGCTTTCCTTCTGGAAGCCCTGGGAAAATCTGTGTCATGTATTTTCCAGTTTCCAGAGGCTGCCCACATTTCTCAGTGAGTGACTTTTTTCCTTCATTGTCAGAGTCAGGAATGTGTAGCTCTCTACCTCTTCTTTTCTATATTTTTATTTTAATTTGTCAGGGGTGGTATGTACTTGTGTGTGTGTGTGTGTGTGTGTGTGTGTGTGTGTGTGGGAGAGGGAGAAAGAGAGAGAGAGAGAGAGAGAGAGAGAGAGAGAATAAGTACCCCAATGAGGAGTGGTCCTGCTGCAATCCCTTCCTCTCCATTTCTCCTTCCTGTTGGAATTTTGGGCATGCACATGTGCCCAGCTTTTCTTCAAGCCACCGAAGCTGAGATTCAAAGCATGTGGGATCCAGCTCCCTTACCCACTAGGCCACGGGCTGGTCCTAACCCTTCTTTTCTAGGCTTATCTCCTCTTGATGCTCTTTAACCTCTAAGGACCCTTGTAATTACACACAGCTGGACCATCCAGCTACTCCTTCTACCTTGAGAACAGTTGATTAGAGACTTTACTTACTTTTGTAGCCTTAATGCCCTTTTCCACGTAACCTAACACGTCCACTAGTTCTGGGGATTAGGGCATAGATGTCTCCGGGGGCCATCTTTCTGTCCTCCACTGAAACTTTGAGGATCTCATGACGAGGGGTTTCCTTTCAGGTGGAGTAAGGTGGAGAGACATTTTTATTGAGTTGAAGAGAGAGATGTTCCTCCGTATTTTTTTTTTTTTCATTATTTATATTGGTTGTAACACAGAAGCTATGTGGCCTTTCCTTTTCTGAAATCCGTGCCCAATTCTAAACTCCACATTAGAGTTGAGCTGCTTCTAAATCCTAACAGAATGAAAATGCAACCACTTCCCATGAGTATTTACAGAGGAGTTTGCAGTTTACAACATATCTTTGTAAATATTTAACTCTCATGACAGCCCCTAACCTAGTAGCTATGTGTGTGCGTGCATGTGTGTGTATGCAGAGTATCTGTGTTTGTGTGAGTATAATTATATGTGTGTGGCATATGTATATATGAGTATGTGTATGTGTGTGATTGTGTGTACCTCTGTGTGCGTACATGCATATATGCATGCACATGTGTTGTGTGCGTTGGAATGGGGAGGCTATAGGTGCCTGTTTTTGTGGCCAGCCCAGGTGGTATAACAAGGAGCCTAGGAGCTGCCCTGGAGCCCCAGCCTCAGGTGTGCTCTCAGCGCAGGGATGTAAGAAGTGAGGCAGGGGATGGGGCATTGACTCCGTGCCTCTAGGTAAGTCCTATGCCCTCTCAGGGGTCCTCCTTACGCCTTCCCCAAACGCCAGGTGCAGTAAAGGGGCTGGACTGGAAATCTGGTTCCCAGGTTCCTTCTAGGGCACAGGGCTATGAGTTCCTGACAATGGAAAGTGGAAGAGGAAGCTTAGTGAGGTGCGGGAGCGGCCTGGGAATCGGCATCTGGCATCAGGGTGATAAGAACTTTGGAGAGTTCTCCTGAAAGGCATGGTATGGGCCCCAGAGAAGGAGCTGAGTGCAGATTTCACCTGGATAAATCTCGCTCTAGAACAAAAGGCAGCAAGCTATCACTGTAGCGAGCCAGAGAGCAAATGCAGCTTCTCAGGCCATAAGGTGTTCTCCCATTCAATGACTCCATCCTCCATTGTGAGAAGAGAAACGAGGCTGTGTTCCAACACAACTTTATTTACCAAATACTGGGGTGTTGGGGAAGACTGATGCATTTTGTGTAGAAAGACAGAAAAATACATCATGACTTTCCTGACAACCCAATAGAAGGCAAGCTAAGTTTGGCTGTGGTCCTGGCTCCAGATAAACCTACATTCTGCTTTGCAACTGCTGGAGACTCTAATTCACAAAGAATTGTCAATCACACCCTTTCTCCTAGTGGTCAAGAAGGTCTGGAATAGAAGTTTCAAAAACAGCACAGGAGGGAACCAGCAGTTAGCGTAATGGCTATGTCGCTGGACTCCCACGTAGTCGATTGTGGTTCGTGTCCCGGACCAGGTGGCTTAAAACTCATGCCGGGCGCGTGTGCGTGCGTGCCCAAGATCCCGAGAGGAGAATGGAGGAGAAGGGATTGCGGCGTGACCATCCCCCCTGGGGGGTGATTTCTCGCTTTCTGTCTCTATGTCTCTCTGTCTGTCTGGCGAGCGCACGCGCCCTACAGTGAAAAATCTCTCCAAAAAAAAAAAAACCAGCACAGGAAGTCTTGGACTTCTCCAGCATCAGTGATAATATTTGTCCCTTATGAGTTTCTGATCTGCACAGAGCCCTACTAGCACTTCTGCATGTAGGGGTCATAGCTATTATACCCATTTATGGGGTATGTGGTCATACAGACTGTTAGGAAGCTGCTCTTTGGAGTAGGCTGACTAGGCTTGGGTTCCTGGCTCCAACACTTAATCACTATGGGGTCCTGGGAAGGGTTTCTTCTCACTAGGTGTCATCTGACAAGAGTGGATAGTTATGCCTATGTCACGGAGCTATGGTTTACATGCAGGAAATATCACCGTAAAGTTCATCCTTGGCTTATGGTTTTTTTTTTTTTATTAAAATCAGTGGTGCTGACGTTTAAATGCAGCTTGATCTACCTCCAAATTTTGGGTCCTGTCCATATCACACATCTCCCTTCTCAACAAGGGGATTCTTAGTAAAATCACACCCTACAATTCTTTCAACTATTCTTTTTTGGCTCTTTTTCTTCTAAAACACATCTGGGCCACAGCTGTGAAGTTACAAGGCAGGACATTGTCCTGCAAAATGAAGCAGGTTTCTGTGTATCATTTCAGGGTGTGTGTGGGGGGCTAATCTGAATGGCCCCTTGGGGGAAAGTGACTTATAGAGCCAGTGGGAATATCCACCCCCCCCATGACTCCTGTGGGCATGGTGGCCTTGATCCAGGGAGCCAGACATTTCCAGGGGAGTGAAGGCCTTGTTTATAGCTTCAGTGGGGTCAGTTTTGTTCACCTTTTTGCTTTGAAGCCAGCCATATGGCTTCCCTTTGGGATTACCTGCTTGTAGCCTTTATAGCAGGTGGATTCATTTAGGAGGATCCCAGAGAAATTGCCTGAGCTTTCTGTTTTTCCATTCTGGATGATATTAACTTTCACTTATTTACTATAAAGTCTTATAATAGAGCTAGTTCCCTATGGATTTTATTTCTGATGTAATATGCTATGTCTTGTTTTCTTCCTTCCTTTCTTCTTTCCTCCCTCCCACCCTCCCACCCTCCCTCCCTCCATCCATCCATCCCAGATTTTAAAAGATGATTCTCAGCCATACACCATTTTATATGTTCAGGGAAGCGAAAGACACAGCTCTACTTTCAAGGGACTCAGAGTCTAGTTGAGGAGAGGTGCATGGTGGACAGCTACGGCATCACATGGAAGAACCTCTTACCTCCCACCAGGCAGTAAGGAAAGCTTGCTGAGGCAGCAGGTGCTGGATGGAGTCTTGAAAGGTGAACAGGAACGTCAGCTCAGGCAGGCACAGGAGAGGGTGTGTCCCTGTGCATGTGTGAGTGCCTGCATCTGTTCTAGGGATGCTCAGATGATGAAGAATGTTCCAGAGAGGGAGATTAGTATAAAGCCAGGAGTTGCAAAGTAGTGCAGCTTTTTAGGGACAGTGCATGTGGTTTATGAGGAAAACGGGGTATGAGGAATGAAGCAGGAGACAGGGCCAGAGAGCTAGGCAGGGAGCAGGTCGGGGAGGTCTTGGGCATAGCAAAGGGCTTTGACTGGGGCACAACGGAATACAGGAGAATTGCAACTTGGAGAGTGACAGAGCCCAGTGTGGGCTAAGTAAGCCTCCTAGGGGTGAGGGGTCACTGTTTCCTGGTGCTTTTCCTCAGCAGAAACATGGCTATCACTGTTGGGGGCTGTGAATAAAGGCTGGCAGGAGGCATGGCATGACCTAAAGCTCTGAGACACTCTCCAACCCAGTTAGGCCAAACTGTCTCAGTTTACAAAGGGGGAACTGAAGCCTTTGGGGTTTCCCAGTGATTTTGTCGGAGTGATTTAGTAGAAGTGAGTACCCGGTCGCTGAAGTGGACTCAACGTCCTTGGAATGAAACCAACTGCAAGGGCAGGGTGACAACAAACAGAGGCTGTCTCATTCTGATTTTCACCAGGGTTCTTCTGGGTGGAAAAAGTTCTTGACGTCAGAGATGGAGAGAAAAGGTGGGAGGAGGTAGCACGCAGGGCCCCTGAGCACAGACACCACAGGGCTGTTCTTCCTTGCCTTCACCCACACTGTGGGCTTTGGAGTCAGGGCAATGCAGGCTGGCTGAAAAGCTTTTGTTTACCTTTAGCAAAAACTCAGGGGCCACTTCCTTGCAAAAATTAGCCCCAGTCCAGGATATAAGTGTTGGAACTGATCGTCAACAACCTGAGTCATAGGAGTAATGAAACTCACTCTCTGAGGGAGGATATTTGTTGTTGGGCAGACTGAGAAATACACTGCTCATTTCCAAGATGTGGCTTGAGTTTCTGATTTACTCAGAAATGCCAAGTACATATGCAGGCCAGAGATAGTAGCTGCTAAATCAACATCGGCGGTACTCCAGCATGGCTTTCTCATTCGTGCTGTGTTCTTGGACAGAGGGCGGTGATTGGATTGGTGGAGGAGCAAAGGCTCTGGTTTGGAGATGAATAAATGGGGTTCAGATATTGAACCCCAGTGTTCTCCATTCTAGAATGGAGATGATATTTACTCATAAGGCTGTGAGATAAAAAAGTTAAAACATATAGCACTGTGCTTGGCATATTTTATAATTTTATTTCCCCACTGTCCTTTGTGGAAGAGCATGCTAAGATGTTATGTATATCTTAAGGCTCAGCTTACTCATCTATGAAATGGGTAAAAATACTGACTCTTGGGAGTGATGCATCAATGCACAGCTCCAGAGTTTATGCACCCCTTGACACTCCATCATGCCCTTAACCATGGGATGTGTTCCCATGACAACCCAGTCTGTGGATGAGCCCTCATCTCTGGGTTGTCCTATATTTCATGCCATTTTCTCTTCTGCAAACTATGCTCTAGCTCAGTAGCTAGCTTTTATTTGGCTCTTTTGCTTTCTTATTCCATGAATAATCCAAACTCATTTCTACCTCTGGGCTTTGGCACTTGTTGTTCTGGAATTTTCCTTTCTCAGGTTTTTTTCTGGGATACCCTTCATCATTCAAGTTCAAGCATCACTTCTTTTGGGGGGGGGTTTCCTCCATTCTTGCTTCACTTTACCCATATTTTGAGTTTTGTCTGGCTCCCTCACTTCTTGCAGGTGGGTCTCTCCTAGGGAGCAGGAACTTCAGCTGCCTCCTCATAGCTGTGTCCCCGGCACACAGAGCCCAATGCACAGTAGGTCCTCAAGGGGCATCTGTTAGATGCCTGAGCTCTTGAACTAGTCTAGGGTTTTACATACCTGGTCTATTCTGGGAGTGTTACTGTAAAGAGATGTCCACTCTTTAAGGCCATTTTCCCTCTGTTTATTTTTTCCAGTTAAGTGTCCTGAAGGAAGCTATTCTCAGGACGAGCAATGCATTCCTTGTCCTGTCGGATTCTACCAAGAACAGGAAGGCAGCGTGGCCTGTGTACCATGCTCAGCAGGCAGAACGACTTTTGCCCTTGGAGCTTTCAGCCAGATGCACTGTGAGTTCTGTGGGGTCCTGCTTCAGAAGAGAAATAATGGGATCCAGCAGGCTTTATTAGCCTTGGTACTACTGGCATTTGGGGACAGCTACTTCTTTCTTGTGGGGTCTGTCCTGTGCTTGGTATGGTGTTTAGTAGCATCCCTTCCCCGTGCTGGGGTCAAAATTGTGCACCATTGAGAACCACTGAGTATACAGCACAATAATCAAAGGGACCACCATTTTTAAGTACCTATCCCCTGCCAGGCCCTGGGCCAGGCATGTTACCTGTGTTGTCTTGTTTAACCATCCAGACACCCCTTTCAGGTAAATATTATTAGCTCAATTTTACAGAAAAGTAAAGTCAGGCTCAGAGAAGGAAACCCATTGAGCCAAAGTCACTCAGCGAATTGATGACATAGCTGGTCTTTGATCTTGGTTTCATCTGATTCTGAAACTTTTGATTTCTATAATTCAGCCTTATCAGATTGAGCAGTGGAAGGTGTTTTCCATCTCTAGTTGTTACCACTGTGCAGCTCATGTCGCCTTCCTGGCCCTATTCGTGTGCCAGGACTGCACGTATGGCCTTCCCATAAGTCATGTGATTTCACTTGGCCTACTTAATTTTCACCTGGGTATTGTTGGGTTTTTCCTAGCAAGAACCCATAACTTTTCTCATTGCACATTTTCCCATGTTAGTCTGAAGTTGTTCCAATGTGAGGCATATCGATATTGCTTAATATCTGAATAATTTTTTTTAGAATATTTAGAACAGATAATTGAAAGAGATATGGTCCCTTTCTTTGATGAGGGAAGTTTCCTTGGTCGGGAGAGCAGTGTAAAAGGACAGGAATTTCAATAAAATAAAAGTAAGAGTAAGGAATTTCATAGAC